AAATAATTGTAATACATTGGGTAATTTAATCAAATATCAAAAACAAAATTATCATAATACAAATTACAGAACAGCAATAATACAAAGGTCGTATAAGTATTTATTTATAATTTCATACTTTGGTGGATTTTTAATACACAAAAATAAAACCCACAATGTAATAAATAATGTGGTTGAAATCATAGAGAAAATTGATACGTTTTCTAATCATTTTCGTATTGAAATACCAATGCTTAATTTGATTATTAGCATCGGAAATTTAATAGTAAACCATAATATCTCATCTTATGAAGGGTTAAATAATATAGCTAATTTCGCTATTAACCAGCTGTATCCTGAAAATATTGATGGACAAAACAAATCCTTTGACGTATTAGCTACAACATATTTAACTTCTGAATTATCAGTTATTTCTCCAGAAGTCAAAAACAATATAATGTCATTTCAATTAGTTAATTTGGAAACAGAAGACGCATTGGATGAATTTAATAAAATGATTTTTAATGCTAATTTAGAATTTACAATACCAGAGAATGCTTAAAAAATACTTTATATTTATATATGGAAATATTGATTTGTAAATGATATAATTACATGTAATAAATGTTTTCACATATAATTTATACAACTGTTGTATTTTAATTTTTAGTAAATTGATAAAAAATACATTTCCAACGGAGTTTGTGATAAAAAATAACTATTTTGTTAATTATTTCAAATCTTAGTGAGATAAAAATTTAGGTATGATACTAATTTTTTTACATAAATTAAAAAGTTTTTTAACCATGTTAATTTTCATTCTTATTGTCTTGGTAACACCCCATATATTAAGTATTCCTTAAAAATAATGATTTTTACTAAATTTTTAATTGATGATGAGTTAATATTTTATCTAATTTACAACTTTTAAATGTTCCCTGTCCATTTTTTTTTTTTTAAGTTTTTCTTACTGATGCTGATTTAATACATTTTAAAAGTATTGTTTTAAATTTTCTATCGTTAGTTATATTATAAAATTATAAATAGTATAATTTATCATATAGAGCGTCAAAAAAAAAATCTGTATATTAAAAGTTACGGCCAAATGTATAAACGAAATTAGTCATGTACTATAAATCAGCGCTAAGTCTATTCTCTTTTCATCGTTTTGTTATTCGTTATTATACCTTTATATTCGTTATTATACCTTCACTTGCTGGACTTAATTCGGTGGCGTATGGCGCAGTGTGTTGGTCCGTCGAACTGCCATATACACCTAGTAGTGCGAGGTTTGTCAAAACAGGTGGCGCGAGGTACGAGGCTTGTGTATCGCAAAGAAACGGCGTCATAGGTATAAAAAAATCAAATCAAAGGAATTTTAAATGAATAAATTGCAAAATTTATACACCAGTTTGATTTAATTCAATTGTTTAATAACTTTAACGAGTAGTTTATAATTAATTTAAAATACTAGGGCTATGAATTGTTTAGATTTATAAGTTTTGTTCAGTTAGTCTAAGCAGCCAATAAAAATGTTTATTAATTAACTTGAAAATTTGATAATGTGCTGTTACTGAGCTCATAGTTATTATTTAGTGAAATAAGGGGGATTTATCAACCTAATTTTTAAAGCACATTTGCAAGTTTTTGAAAATTTCGATTTTTAAGAAAGAAGCTCGCTGACGGCGGTGTTTTATGATTTTTTACTAAAAATTTCTAAGATATAAAAAGAAATTTAATTCTAATAGTTTTGTGAGCTTTTTATTTAGACTTTCGAAACGCCAAGGCGCCCACATTATTTATGATACTTTTTATGATATGAAAGCAATGTTTTATTTGATTAACGACTTTACGACGACCATTTACATGTGTCGAGAAAAAGCCGTAAATCAGAAATCCAATCAAAACCCAAGTAGTCATGAGCGTCTAATAATTACAAAATTATTTTTATTTTGAAATTTAGCATATTTTTAATAAACATTTTTCCTTTTTCATTACGCATGTATATTTTTGTAAATTCCACTGATTTCAACTGTCAATAAACTGAATAATTCTTTTTATTCATAATTTAAAATTAATTTTTTTTGTGTAATTTAATTGTTTGCGAATTTTATTTTAATCTTTGATACATTTTCATTTACGCATTTATTTTTCATTTACATCAATAATGGCATTGTTTTCTTAACATGGTTTATTTTGTTTATGCGTTTTAATAAAAAAAAAATGTTTCTGTTATTACAAATTATTGGTTCGAGATGAGGTATTTATGTTAGTTGAAATCGTTTTTAAATATTTATATAAGAAGACAATATTTTATTTAACACGCTAGGATTCAATGGATGTATAAATATATATAAATATATTTTTTCTTTCAATAGCAGTGACACTTATAGTGAAATAAACTATTAAGAAATCGTAAAAATTAACAACTAGTTAAATATTTTTTTTTATATGCATTGTTAGAAATATATAGGAATAATAAAAAAAAGTTATAGAACTTTAAAGTAAAAAACCCAGCACAGGGGGGTCGCGGCACAGTGGTGACGTGACATAGTTGGATCAAGTATAATGATATCTGACAGTGATTAAAATCACTATCAAAAATAAACGTTTCGATGCAAATCTTTAGATAGTGTTTAATTTTAAAAAAATTGGTAGAATTGGTTATTCCAAAAGCTACTTGATCTGCTGGTTCCTTATTAATATCTCGATTAAGATAAAGTATGTCGAATGAAAAAAGGTTTATTAAAAAATATTATTTCTCATAAAAAAATTGTGTGGATCCATAAACTTTTCAATAAGTTATAGCATTATAAAGTTAAATATAATATAAGTAATAAAATCGAAAATTTTCACACAAAAATAGCATTCGGTAGCCGTTTTCACCATGAAGACAAGTCCAGAGGTCAAATTTTTTTTTTTCAAATTAAAGTACATTACATTAATTTTAATTTAAGATATATATAAAAGTATCAGACCTTCCGGAACATTTTCAAAAGTTAAGTTGAAAAAGTTAATTTTTTGTGAAAAAGTTGTAATTTTAAATCCCCCCCTGTGGGCAGAAAAAAGGTCAAATTTACAAAAAAATATACCAAGTGATAGGTAAAGACATCAAGCATCTATAAAAAAAAAAAATTATATTCATATGTTCATTTTTGAAAAAGTTACGGCACATTTTAGTAAAAAAAATTAAAAAAATTTCGAAAATTAGCGATTTTTAAATTTGTAATTTTTTTGGAGGTTTCCCCCATTTACGGGGAACGAAGGAAATTTTTTCAATTTTGAAGGGTAATGTCTTCGACTAGATACAATTTGTGATCTTTTGACGTATCGTTGAAAGAAATCGGTTCGTTGAGAGCTGAGAAAAAGTGGTAACAGACACAAAAAAAAAAAACACATCATAGTAAAACCAATACCTTCTCAGCTTCGCATCGAAGCTAAAACAACATTTGTGGGATAGAGCAATAGTGTTATAAGACAATTTTATATTTTTTAAGGAAATAAATATTTAAAGTACTTTAATTCTACAAGGAGTATTGTTAATATAATAATATTACTTCATACCATAATTTTAATAATACTGTTGATACCTATGAAACTGTTAAAATTTAAGTATTATTAAATTATTGTAAAAATCTCAGTTTAAAAATGTTAACCTTATATCCAATTGATTTTGCTATTGACTTTTTTATTAATATACACATTTTAATAGTAACACTTTAAGTATATTTTTGTTACACTGATTTTGAAGTAATATTGCAAAATACTTTGTGTGTTACTACATAACTATCAGTTTTTCAATCCTGGGTACAGGATTAATAATACATTTTAAACTAAGTTAGCTAATATACATAAATATGAATTTTAAATGAGAGAGGTAGGGTTATAATGTAACACGGATATGACGTAACATAGGCACAAAGTATTATAATATGATGTTCTAATAGATGTCATTAGATTAATAAATAAAAAATATCATATATATAATAAAAAATATACTATGTTGTTATCGGGATATTTCTATCATTATTAAAGAAGCTATAATTTATTCAGTTTTATTCAATCTTCTTCCTCACCTTAATCCCAACTACTTGGGGACGGGCACCCTTATCCTTAACTTCCACTTAACACGGTCTCTCACATCATCTACGCTCACATCAGCTGTCCTCAAATCGCATTCCATAGCATCCCTCCATCTCTTTTTTAGTCTTCCTCTACCAACTGCCCAACACTTTGAACCACTCATCATAGCTGGTCTCACTACAGTCTTATAGAATTTACCTTTCAGCATCATTGAAGTTCTTTTATTGCATAACACACCGCACCAGTGGCTTCTCTCCACTTGAACTCCGCACCTAATCCTGTGTCTTACATCTTCGTCAATACCACTGCTCTTTTGAACAACTTATCTTAAATACTTAAAACTTTTAAGTATACCCAATGATCAGAAACATATAGAGTTTTTAAGACAAATTTGAGTAAATGGATACATAGATTTTCCCATAACACGTTTAAGTATAAAGTCAAAATAATATTAAAAATAATTATCTAATTTATCATCAGATGATAATAATATTTACATATAGTACATTAGCTCTCATTTTTTAGTTTCAATGCGTTCATTTTTTTACATAAATCTATCATTTGAAATTCATTGTAAATCACCAATAACATTAGTAAAATGGGCCTTCAGAAGATTTCTCATGGGCTAACCCTCCCAATTTTATGTTAAAAAAATGATACTAAAAAAAGTGTATAATTACATAAATAAATTCATCGGTTCAAATTGAGGTGGCCGTTCTTCGGTAAGCCTTATATTACTGCATTAATTAATTTATTTACAATTTTATAAAATAGTACTTTAATATGATGTGTTTACTATCCAGATTTTAAGACATTTTTAAACTAGTATTTTACCAAGTTATTATTTTCTAGACAATTCAAAAGATAATATTCATTTAAATGAATACTATACTATAAGAAGAAATAGGATTTTCAAGAATATAATCAAGCATGAAAATAAAAAAAATAACTAAATTTACTATAACTATATAAATTGAAATTTACAAAGTTTTTAAATTAAAAAGTCAAAAGTTAGAACTCTCAAAAATATAATGAGTATAAACTCATATTGTTGAAATATCTTCGTGTATTTTAAATATTTACTTTATGATTTGATATCATATAATTCAAATTTTTCCTAATTCAACAATAGAAATGTCGAAAGCGCACGATAACTTGACCCTAAAAAAAACCTCTATTGACTAGAGTTTTTAAAATTCTTGTAAAACTTTTAACTTAATTAACCAGTTATTAATATTATGCATTTATAAATTATTTTATGTTTTTGAAAAAATTATTTTCACAAAAATTAAAAATACTGAAACATTTTATTTGTATATTCGTTTAAATTGTATTAAATTTGTTTACATTTTTAATAGTACTATTTAAAAAAAAAAATAACTATTTTTTTTCCCAAGTAGTATTCATTAAAATTGATAGATTTTAATTTAAATAAAAGTCGAATATATAAGTATTGCAATGTGAGTTTGAATAAAATCCCTTACATATGATTTTGTTGATATTATCTGTACTATTCGCTTACAATTTTGTTCACATTAATTGCCTAGATTTTATTTTAACGAAACAATCATTAGCAAATTTGGTAGTTATTGAATATTTAAATTGCAACTCGGTTGGAGAGGAGTAACGTTGCGAAGGAAAAAAAATATTTTTCCTAATCAGTGTAGATATAATGGTTTTCATTTGAAGCATTGCAAATTTATTTCCTATACAATTCCTTGGACCACCGCTAAATGGCAAAAATGCATATGGGTGCCGATTTTTGCATGTCTCTGGTAAGAAGTTATCAGGATTGAAACTTTTAGGATCTTTATAATATAAAGAACTCCGATGAAGATAACCAATATAAACAAACAACTGAGAATCTATAATAATTAGGATTTATAATTTATATCCAATAAAATTATAGATAATTTAAATTACCTGCTGGTAAAATATAATTGCCCATATCAATTTCTTCTTCAATATCTCTCGTAATTAATTGTACTGGTGGGTTTATTCGTAAAGTTTCTTTGATTACTCTCTCTAAATATTTCATCTTATTTAAGTCATCATAGGTAGGTTGTCTATTGTAATCACCAGTAGAAAATATTACTTCTTGCTCTTCAAATACCTTAAGTTTTAAATAAATATAAATCAGCCAATATATTATATAAATAGCATCATATCATACTGACAATTATACCTTATGTTGAATATCTTGGTGATAAGCTAAGTGAAATATTACACAAGTATTTGTAAACGCTGTTGTGTCTTGTCCAGCTAGAGAGAATAGTTTTAATTGTAATTATTGTTATGTTAAAAAGTGTTATTGTTATAATTTTTACACTACATAGTATAAGATAGATTGACATATATAATGGCCATTTTTTCTTTAAAATAAGAAATTTAAAAATAAATTGAATTTCAATTACCTCCTATTAACGTTGAAGTTTCATCTCGAATATTTTTATACGTCATTCCGCTTGAGTTTTCAACTATACTATCCATAATTGATTGAATTTTATGGCCATTTTTAGATGAATCTTTTAGATTACTTTTAGTATAAGATTCAAATTTGTTCAACTCTTTATCTTGCATTCCCATTAAACAATCAATATATGTTAGAAATTCTTTTTTACATCTCTCTTCAATTTTCCCCATTGCAGACCATTTAAATAATGATTTATTTAAATACCACAAATTTCGAATTCTGTATTCAACTATCTAATAAAAGTCCCAATAATATTTAATAAAAAATTGTAAAAAAAAAGTATAAAAATATTTAAAAAGGCTACTAAATAGGTTATAAAAATTACGAAGTATCTAAGTATTTTTGAAAATGCAAAATGTATGAGAAATTAAATTTGAATGAATTAATTAAATCTGTAAATTGAAATATTTAGTATATTTTTTATTATTTACTTAATTAATTAGTGATAGCAACCATATAAGTTTCACAAATCGATTTTTTTGTTTTGATATCTGTATCGTTTTTTAAAATTATATTTCTATTCGAAAATAATAAATTTTAGATGTGTAAAAAGGAAAAAAGCTCCAACTTTGTAATAAACTTTAAAGTGCTATCTATTAATATATTTATTTATTTACATTTAGTAGTTGTACTTAATAACGGGGCTAGGAACCAAAATCTAAAAATTTTTTTAAAACCGTAACCTTAATCGAAACCGAAAATTTAGTATAATTTATATTTCGGTATTCGAGTTTTAAAATGATGTATCTTTATTAATCAATTGTATATATGTCTATTATTATTATTTTTAAATATATTAATATTTAATATTTAATGTGCAGTTATAATTTAAGTGATAGAAAATAGTTAGAAAACGAGACTTAATGTGTATTTTTTCTTTGAAAATACGATCTGTTTTTAATGTTAGTTTTGTCAAAAACATACAATGTGACTCTGTCATTACCAAAACTCATTACTTCTAGTATTTAACTTTTTTTCTTTTTTGTAACATTCTATAGATACCTACGTGAGTTATAAATTTGTTCCAAAAAATCATAATTTCTTTAGAGATTGTCTGTTAATTTAAAGATATTATTTTGTGATCCGTCATTAAAAATATTTAATATTTTAAATTAATTTAAAAACATAAAAAGCTATAAAAATATTCAAAAATTAAGAAGCTATTGAAATTCTTTTATAAATTTTAAATTTAAGGTTTTTCTTTTTTAATTTTTGATAGTGATATCTACAACTAATTGAATTCAAGGGCGTCATGTGTGGGGTTCAGGGTGTGCAACCACACTCTTTACTTTAAAAATAGTCCCAATTGGCCTGCAAAAATAATACGCTAATTTTTTATACATCAATTCAAATTTCAAAAACATTGTATTATCATAGTTACATGGATCAATAAACAAATATTCTGTTATTAATTAATTGAGTAAACAATTATTCGTAATATATAATGTAATAAACAAAAAATTGGTAAACTGTAGGATTTTTAATATTATTTAATAATAATATATTATACTTATACTACTAAAATAAGCGAATAAAGAAAATGTGGCGCTGCTCGTCAACGAGAAAAAAATAAAAAGTTATTAGTAGCAACATACCATAATATTATTAAAATGTTTAAAAAAGTTGAAATCAATTTAGTGAAAAGTTTTGTAAGTAATTATTAAAATAGTCTACAATGAATGTATTCAAATGTTAATCCAGTATATACGTTAGGGTAGATCAAAAAATATCTATCTTCGAAATTTTAATGAGAACCATATTAACTTTATTATATACATTAAAATAGCCATTTTATGAAAATTAGAGATTTTTAAAAATAATTTTACTAGTTGCTCAATGTGTTATTAGTATTTTGACCAAAAAACGACCCCTGTTATTCAATTTTTGATCAAATATTATGATTAATATATCAAAAGAGTTTGTAAAATACAGTAGAATACAAATTTTTTAGTTTCAAAATTTTGAGTCTTAAATTAATAGCATGGATATCATAATTAGAGTCATTATATGAAATATTTCTAGTAGGTCCAAGTAAGCATAAAAATTTTTTTATACAGTTTGACTGGTATTTATTTATATTATAAGTAGTAAAAATTCTTAACTAATCATAAAAAATTATATCTTTTAGTTTCGATACGAAACTGAGAAGATATTAATTTTACTATGAAGTGTTTTTTTTTGTGTCTGTTACCACTTTTCTCAGCTCTCACTGAACCGATTTCTTCCAACAATACGTCAAATGATCACAAATCATATCTAGTCGAAGAAATTACCCTCAACAATTGAAAAAATTTCCTTCGTTCCCCATAAATTCTGGAAATCTCCAAAAAATTACAAATTTTAAAAATGCCAATTTTAAACATTTTTTTTACTTAAAACTGCCATAACTTTTTAAAAAATAACCAAATCATTATAATTTTTTTACAAATACGTTAGATATTTACCTATCATATTGTATTTTTTTTTATGAATCGGATCCTTTATCTGCCCACAGGGGAGATTCAAAATGACAATTTTGTCACAAAACATTAACTTTTTCATTTTAACTTTTAAAAATGTTCCGGAATAACTGGCACTTATATATATATATATTGTATTAAATTCAATGTAATGTATAATAAAAAAAAATTTTTGGATTTTATTTTGTTTTCATGGTGAAAACGGATATCTAAGTTAATAAAAATATACGATTTTTGTAAAGAATTACAATATTAATTTATTAATATCAATTTCGTACCATATTTAATTTCTATCATATATTACAATTAAAAATTATAAAACTTATAATCAGGATATAATAAGGAAATAGGTGATCATGTTGTTTTTGGAAAAATCTATTAATTTTTTAAAATTAAACACTATCTACAGATTTGCATCGAAGCATTTTTTATAATAGTAATATTAATCACTGTCAAATTAAATCTATACTTGAACCAACTATGCCGCGCCTTACTGACTGGGTTTTTTTTTTTAAATATTCATGTTTACTATTTTTTTGACTCTTGTAGCAAAACATAATGATATTAATTTTGCTATATTTATGCTTTAGTTTTATTTATAGTAAGTATTTTTGCTGCCTTTATTTTTAGATTCATTGTGCAACTAAATAAAATATATTTTTAGAACAAACCAATAACTTATTTAAGTTATTTGAAATTTATAACCAATCTAGTTCAAATTGTTTTAATCCTGAGAGTCTTTATTCAAAATATTTTATAAATCTTTACAATTATTTTAAATTTAATAAAATTCAAATTTCTTCTGAGTTTCCATCATCAAAAGCACTATTTGATGACAAGCATGAAGTCAATATAGATACTATAGCAATATACCTGAAAGATTTTCCTATCGCTTTCACTAAAACATTAAAAATTATTTCATTGGTTCTAAACTCTACCAAGTACAACAGCATCAAATGAAAGGTTTTTACATCGCTCAAAAATGTTAAGTCATATTTACGCCTTCCATGAACGACGAAAGACCAAATGATCTCATAGTACTTAATGTTGAAAAAAAAGAAGTTAAGAATATAAATTTAGAAAAAGCTGTGGATGTATTTGCTAAATTACAAAATCGGCGATATCCGCTTATGTAAAATATAATCAACTTTTTTTTTTTAGAACTCTGCTTGTACAAAAATTATAAATTAAGTATAAATGACACTTTATAAATATATATATATTATGTCATTTTTCATTTTTTTTTTTTTTTGCTGCATTTGCCATCTTCAAATTTTTTATGCATAATTTAATGATATTTAATCACAGGTAAAGTAATCAATTATATATTCTATTTAGCTTTTAAATTGCTTTTTTACTATTCATGTTGATTGTGATTCATAATTTATGGAAAAATTATAAAAAGAATAATTTGCACAAGTAGTAATTATATATAACTATCTATTTTTATATGGCCAGATGAAATTTCAAAAAAGCCTACTTGAAATCTCGCACACCGCCAAAAAAACTGAAATGACGCCTCTGATGGAATTCGGATTTTTTTTAACGTATTAATGAGTAAAACGGTCTAAAAAAAGCTCTGAATTTTTATGGATAGACACAAATAGAATGCTCATCATGATAAACACAATACCTCCAAAGCTTTGTTTCGAGGATAAAAAACTCAAAAAATAACAACACAGAATTTAATTAACGTCGTTTAATTGCATAACTCGCTCGAAAATGTAATCTTACTAAAAAAAAAAACCTAACTCTAAACCTGAGATTCCCAATCCTGCTTATAAATAATTAATAAAAAAAAATACTGAAAAAATTGTTTTACTTATTTTACATTAAAATTAGTAAAAAGTAGTATACAACGTACTACTTTTATTTGTTTTGAACAATTTTTTTTTTTTTTGAATTAATATAATTGTAATATTATGATATGTCAAATTATTAAATTTCGATATTGCTGTCGAATTTTTGTCTCGATATGGATATTGAATCGAACTATCTATATTATTGCCCAACACTATTAATTACGACTATATACTTAGTTTTTATTCAATATTAAGAACATAATATTATGTAAGATAGAACTTTGAGAAAATAGATCTTGTAATTATTAAAGGAAGTAACTCGTAAGTTTTTATACAATTGATATCGTATATTACTAAAATAATTAAAATTAAATTAATAAGAATAATAAAGTCTACAAAATTACCATCATTAAAGTTTGAATGCATTTTACCACTGTAAAATCGTATTTTTCATTCTTCATACTTATATCATTACCAAAAACCGATTTTTTTATTATTTTCATAGTAGTCAACGATATAGGAACACTAATTTCACATTCATTTGATTCTTTGTTAGAAATGTCTAGAATCATATTAGATAAAATGTTTGCTTCTTCATAAAATATTTGAATAAATGATTTCATTTTGTTATTATTTAAACTTGATGAAACAATTTTTCTATATTAATCAACAAAAAATTGAATGTTAAATTTTCTAAAATCTTTCCTTTAAAATATTATGAAATGTATTAAATAAAGTGGAATATTATTCATAACAACCTGTGTTTATGCCATTTTGCTAAATTGTTATTTGTAGTTAAACCTTCTCCTAAGAATGTTTCTCGCATAGTTTTATAAAATAAACCTTTTTTTTGTACTTTAGGGTGTAATAACAGAGTTTTTATATCTTCTGGTGTAGTAGGAACTACACACATCAGTGGACCAAGCCAAAATTTGAATATTATCTTATCTTGGCTGTAACTTTAATGCAAATGTTATATAAATGTTTGACGTATTAAAATTCGTAATATTATATTTAAAAAGTGTTCATTTTTTATACTAATAAAAATTATAATAGTATCTCACCACATCTACAATAAATTAAGAAAAATATTAAATAGATGAAACATACGTTTATCGCATATTGTTGATTATTTCAAAAAAATTTTTTTTGACTTATTGAAATATACAGACCAGAAAATATGTGCTGCGATAAATTAAAAAAGTGTTAAAAAATTCTTTTTAAAGAGAACATGTATCACCTATGTGAAGGGCAGCAAATAGACAAGTGTGAATACTGATGAATAATTTTGTCCAAACAATCATTCATGAAGATATTGAATGAAATTGTTGAAATATCTTCGTTTATTTTAAATATTTACTCTATGATTTGATATCATATAATTCAAATATTTCCTAATTCACAATAGAAATGTCGAAAGCGCACGATAACTTGACCACAAAAAAAACCTCTACTGACTAGAGTTTTTAAAATACTTGAAAAACTTTTAACTTGATTAACCAGTTATTAATATTATGTATTTTTAAATGAAGAATCTTAAAAGACCATTGGAAACTCTTTTACGGTAAAAATGATGTATACTGAGTTTACTAAGCAAAAGGAATGTTTGTAGTTACTGTTTTTTGTCTAGGTTTTTCCTAACTATTTTTATCGTCTATTTTTACAAAATGCCTATAAACCAAATATTTTCTAAATTAGGTTCCTTGGTATAATAAATTTTCTTGGCTCAAAAGATGCTCTATTAAATTATCATTACTTTTATAGTATACAAGGTGTTCAGTAAATAAGGAAACGAATTTCTATTGTACTCATTGTTTGTAACAATTTAACTGTTTCCTAACTTACTGAACATTCTGTATAATAATTTTTCAATTTTTAGCATGTAAACCCTTCCTTATTAGGACGACAGTATTGAACTATTGAAAAATTATAATAAACTATTGTGAAATCATTAGCTATAAAGACATAATATTTTTAACATTTTTCAAATGTCCCTCATAGTATATATACATATGTATATAGAATAGTATATTCTGGACTATTTTACTCAATTTACTTCCTTTTTCAAACAATTATACTGTGGAACCCAGTGCAAAAATGTTTTCACGGGGTATATATGCTAGTAAAAAAAGTATTATTTTAGAGTATTAATCTCTACTGGAATAATCATATTCTAAAACACTATAAAATCAAATATCATTTACAAATTGAATATAAAACTAAGGTATGGTTCGATTTAGAATAATTACGTGATTGGATTGTAGATATAAATTTGCAATCTTTTTATTATAAATAGTAATAAATATTAATTGGTTATTATACATCTTGAATTATATTCAACAATTTGAGAACACGAAAAAATATCTAAGACGCTTAGGTGGAAAAATGTAACTCAAATTTCATTCCAATTTCCAATATAATTTTAAATGTAAAATGCTGATGTATTTAAACAAATTATAATTTTAACATAAATTAGTTTTAGCAGGTTCACTTACTTACATTTTATAAATTTCGATCATTCTAATAGAAAAGTTTTTTGATCCATTTATATAATCAAAAAACAACCATAATATTAACCAACCTTTTGGTCCTGGTATATTTTTGGCCAGTAATAATTTCCTTGGATTATATAATTTTACTGTTATTAAAACAAAAATAAGTAGAATTGAAAACCATACGAAATTTAATAAGTTACATTTTGTGAGATCCATTTCCTAAAAAATAATGTTAATTAATGTTATGCATATATTTCTTATATTATTATATTGTAGAACAGAAATAAGCAAAATTGTTATTGTAGTTTATGACAATATTTTTTAGCAAATACTCATTTCAATAAATCCACGCTAACAAAAGTAAAACTTATTTAGAATTTTAACATTTATATTACGAAAAAAAAATTTTAATAGAGCTATATGAAAAGTAATTTTTTTATTTGACCTCAAAATATTAGTATTAATACTAATATTTATTTTTCTATTCTTCTTTCAGAATATTTTTACATAGAATTCATAATTATTTCTTAATATTATTTCAATATTTTTTAATTTATATATTTTTATATCAGTTATTTCGAATCAAAAATTTAATCAACACTTAATATATATATTTATATATATATAAATTGTTGAAATTCCTCTCTAAAAGCTATTGCTTGTGGCAGAGAGAACAAAAAAACCTACATAGCCCAGCGCAGCCAAATCAAACCCCTGTATCTACTAACGAGGCACAACTCGTTACAAACTGATCTAAGTTATAACCGCTATAAATTGAATAATTGAAAATATGACTCAAACTATTAATTAAATGACTATTTTACAATATTATTATCATTTATGTAAATTAAATTGCGGTAGGCAAATAAAAATTATATCTAAATATTTTTTTGTAAAAGATTAGTGAAACATGCAACAAGGACAAATTGTAATTCTATAAGTTAGTAAAAGTTCATTGTTTCTTTTTAATAATTTTCAAATAGTATTACTGTATGCCATTAGAAAATAATGCCAAGTTGCAAATATAAACTTAACTTTATAAAAATAGGATTATTCTCAAAGAAAAATATACCACATAAAAAATTTGTTACCTTATTTCCATATAATTACCAAAAAATAAAAATAAACTACATCAATGTTATTAGTAGTATAACTTATTTTATAACAGTTAATTATGATAAATCAAAAATTCATTAATATTTTATAAAGGTCTAACTTTAAATAAATAAATAACATTTGTGTTAATAGAATAAGAAAATATAATTATTTGTTTCAATTAATTTTATAAAACATTCTAATTTATAGAACATTGATAAACAACCTCATATGATATGACCATGGCAATCTATTAGTATTATCAGGTTCCTTAACAAAAAAAACGCCTCTTTTATGATAAATCAATTATTAATAACTTTAATGTCGAAATAATTACATACATCTTAAAGTTCATTAACTAATTTTATAGAACTATAAAAAATAAAGAGTTATTTTATGTCAAGTAAAATATTATATTATCTGTTTTTGCGTATAAAAAATACCTGCTCTTACGATATTATTGGATGATTAATTTAAAATTTTTATTATTAATCTCTAAAGAAATTTTCATTTTGTGATACTAATAAGAGTAAAAATTATTTTGTATATATTTTTTACGGTGCTAATGTATCTTAAATTTATTATTGAAAAATTTATAATCTGTATTTTATATTACTTGTATACAAACAAATAATTTATTTATTTGTCATAACATAAACACTGTTGTACACTATTTATTCTATATGTATATACAGTAGAACCTCATTAATCCGGACTAATAAGGGCTCAAGGTTGTCCGATTTAATGAAAGTCCGGATTAAACAAAATAACCAAAAAACATGTCCGTAGTATAGATTTAAGAATATTATATTATACTAAATACTATATATGATATAATATATATATATATATATATATATA